TTTGTCAACATGTTTGGCGGCATCCGGTTTCGACTTTTCCTGTCACTGTGGCCAGCCCCAGGTCGCCTGCGGCTACTGTGGGACAATGGTTTGTGCAGCGCAATCGACTCAGATATATATTTTTTAAATATATATAAATATATATGTACATTTATATATGTTGCATGTATATATATTTATGCAATGCTTGGACCCGGTCGTTCTAGGAGGTAGTTATGTGCATATTGCACTGGAGTTCTTTTTTGTTTGATTGTACCGTAGTTAACTTTTCGGTTTCCTTTTTTTTCAACAGGGTGTCTACGTTTCTCTCGAACCCCAAGGGTATCTGTCCATTACATAAGTACTCCTAGCTTATCGCTACGATGGAATATGCAGCCAGATCTGCCATCGGTTTAATAATTGGATGTTTTGCTAGCTACTTCTTCGTTCATATTGGATAATACAGTCTGTGAGTCTTTCGAAAACCGAATATTTGACAATATGCAGCGAGGTGTACTAGCTGGGTTCTTCCTGTGGTCACTTCAGTTATGTTAACAGAGAATTTGTGATGTTACCGCTTTCAAAACGCATGTAGCAGACGGGATCTCCGGCCCACATTAACTATAGGACCTCACTGTTTTACTGTACCTTTTGTTTTTGTGCATTATTCCACCTGGTAACCTTATTGATGGCATTTGTTTCTTTATTCCTATGTGTCTCTATATGTTGTTGATGCCCACATTGCTGACTAAATTGCTGGCTACCATTTAGGTTTGCGTTTAAACGTTAACTAACCACCGACAATCGTTTTGGTTGCTTATAATTGTACTTACGACCTTCAACGCTAGCGGAATATGGCTGTTATTCTTACTTGCAGTCCATACTCATGCACGTTCGTAGTGTTATCGCTCATGAAGTTTATTGTTTTTCCATCCAGTTTGTGGTAGTCCATACCCAAGGGTGCAAAAATGCCCGCTCGCACACTGTAGTACTGCAACTCGAACCAGGGACCTTTGGTATGTCAACTGATATCTCATGTTGAATGTTTGAGTGAAAGCCAGTTAGAAACACTTGTAAACGCCACACCTCAGACTGATGGCATTTTCATTCGCATGACACCATTATCTGCTAGTTTGCCCAAATTACAAGCCCCGCTGGCATCTGTTCGTGTCTCGCTACGTCCTCACTTGAGAGGTGAATCTTATTACCTTTCTTCTAGTGTGACACTATGACTTATTGCGGGTTGCAATATATAGTCAATGTATCCCATCTCAAGTGCCTCTACACGCCCCCTTGTATTGTTGCCGCCGTTAAGTAAACGCATTGAGATTCAGACAAGTCATTAAGGTTGATTCCGGAACAGCGTTAACACGATGTAACATCCAAATCAAAATCCTTGGGCACAGGTAGCATTCTAGACACTGCTGAATTGGTCGAGAAATGCTAGCGGTCCGAACAAATGACCATAGGGAAATAAATAGTAACACATGACGAACTGCCTGGTGGTTCCACATACCAGTTGATTCTCGCTTAACTCGGACAAGAAACGACAGGATCGGCTCTGGTTTACCTTCCGACCCGGATAGCCTGCAGTTAATATAGGAGATGGCGGTTACAGCACCAACCAACGATAAGTCATGACTATTCCGCTAGGCTTCTACTTCTTCTTTAAAGTCAGCATAGCTATAAGTCCCCTTCTCTCACCGCAGACTTTAACTTGTCTGAGTTTATGAATAGCAGTGAACTTAATCACACCATTTCCCTGCTAACCTGAAAAATTTCTTATTCCATGTCCGTCATCTTCTTTGTGTCATGCTTATTCTATCACTCATGTAAGTTGCGCTTGGGTACAGTTTCCCTCTAGAATGATTAACTACCGACTTGGTGCAATGTGGTATTTTTATTGCACCTGCCTAGGACGGATGAGCAATATCTAACCTACCTTTATTGGATTTTCTTAACTCGGTTATATTTCGCGGTTATTCCACGTGTTGTCCACTACACTGTTGTACTCATTATGACCCATGCTATTCTTGCTATCCTCTCGAGTGGCGTCTATCACGGTGACATGCCGAGACGGCAAGCTACGGCATCTTTCTCTTCGTATTATTATTCGGCCGCGATTCACATCACTATGTAAGCTCCGTGGTATTCCTCACTAGACTATGCTATCTACATTCTACTGCTTGAAATCGATTTGTAAATTAGCTGACTCTAGCTTGACCAACTGCCCAATGTTAACTAGCACGACGCTTAGAGGGCCGATGCATCGCCGGATACAGAGTTAGTCCATCCATGAGCTGACCCGTATTTGACCTGCTCGCGGAGTTTCCGTGCCAACTGCGTTGCTAAGGTGGCAAATTATTGAGTATGTTTCCAGTTCGGTAGATACGTGTGAATCCAAAGGTTACCAACGCTTGGCCGATTACATTACGCATAAAATGTAAAGTTTGACATCTGGAGTACAATGCCCAACAATTGTCCCTCGTGTGACCGCCTTGGACTATGCATCCGAAGAGAAATTACCCTGGAAAACCCGTGGCAAGTAAGCAATTCTTGGCACTTAACTGACTAGCGATTAACATGAAGTCGACAGCTCACGTTCCGCTCCACAGGTTAATGATAAGAGTGAGCATAGCTATATTTCCCGTTGTTCATCAGCCATAATGAATTTAACGGGGCTTATGAAAACTTAAGTATCAAGCGGATTGAAGGCGGAAGCGCAGAGACGCCTATCAGAAGTTTAATTGGACATGGCCAATCTTCTGGATAGGTTAAGTAAAAGGCAATGCCAATGGTAATGGTACGTCCGTGTCTTAGTGTATTACATCGGAAATGAATTGGCGCATAGCGACAATCGTTTTAGGAGCACCGAATTGCTGCACTCGAGATGTACGATGCTGGTCATTACCAAATAGCCTATGGTCACAGCAGAGTACACAGAGGTACGTACAAACGGTTGAGTATTTGGCTGACTGCCATGCTACGTCTTGGAAGCCACATGTTTGACGGTGAGCAGCGGGACTTAGTTGATGTAGACTGGCGGTAGTTGTCGCACCAACGAGGCCGTAAGCGGCGAAGATGCGGCATTGACACCTGTCAATGCTTAAGGTTGCGCCAAAATCCTACCTCGGGCAACAGATGATCAGACCGGTCGGCCAAACGGAGAGACTGAAGTGAACACCCAATCGCATTCGCCCGCTGTGCGATCTCCCACATCAGCTACGCAGACTAAACTGTGCATATAGGGGGCAACTTCTAAGTACACACTAGTTTACTGTACCACTTGTTTATTTATCATTCTCTTTGTTAACCATATTGATGGCAGTTGCGTTGCTATTCCTATATCGGTTTCGTTCAATTATTGATGCCCAAGATATAAGCCTGTTATTTATGCTCACGTCCAAATGTTAAAGCAAATACCAACAGTTCATATTGGGTACTTATACTCATTCGTGCGAAAATGGCCTTTAGCCTGACCTCCAAACGAATCCCATGCATGTTTATAGTACCATTGTTCATCAGGTTTAATATGTCTATCCAGTTTGTGGCAGTTCATACTTAAGTTTGAACAAACGCATGTGCATATGTTGTATTCCAACTGCCATTGGACACAGTGACGCCAATCCATGTATATAAGTATACCTAATGAATTCGACGAGGATACTCATGCCGCTTTTGTACGACCAACTTAGTGCAGGGATGCGGCACTGGAGCACACCGAAAATAACATTACCAGGATATAAGGAAGGTGAGTTTATGATAAACTAATGCTGATTTCAGGTGTTGCGAATCCAAGGCAAATTTGATCGATTCGAATTCCGTGGACTGCTCTAAAGGGTGATTGCTCAGGTGCAGGAGTAGGCACTATTGCACGCGGAATAGAAGCACCACGCGTACGCTCCCATTCCATTTACTAATCCAGACCAATAATGGGGCGTATGTGGTACGTTTGCCTGCGTGATGAGTATACTTGCATTTCAGCAGTAGATATTGTTTAAACTCCCCGGTATCGCTACGCTTGTTGTGAATGTTGACAAGATACCAACCTGTCTCATACCCTTCAGTTCGATTGCTGGCTCTAGGAGACCGTTGGTCGTTGTTGGAGGGGACGGAGTGCACCGTCCTCGTGACGGTGCTAGGTACATGGAGTAGTTCCATGAAACCTGTGTAGAACGGGCTACGGGCCAGCCACCGCCTTTTGTACGTCTGATGTGTATGATTTCTCAATTAGGCCGGAATGCTTCTGTTTTGCTTGTTGAAGGAGTATGGGCCAACTCCGTTTATGAAACGTGGCTCCCATGCACGGGCCTCCCGGTCTTGTTCCTTCGGGTTTACACTGGATATGGGGTGTGTGGGTGGAACTGTGGGTGGTGCAGCGCAAACCACCCATGGTCCCTCTGTAGGCGCAGGCCTCCTGTGGCTGTCCCCATGTAGGCCACAGTGGCAGGCAAATCCGAACATGGATGTTGCCAATCCATATATATAACGTAACAGATAGCATATCCTCTTGCTCTATTTACTTAAAAGTCATTAAGTGTTTTGACGGGTAGCACAAGCGCGAATTCCGATGGTTAAGCGGACAGCAGCTGTTTGCATCCCCGTTCCTTGCTCCGTCGTTTCAACGATTCTGTTGACCTTACCAGTGTAGGTGGACAGACTGGTACCGGAAGAACCATGTTCATCGGTTCCGTTGTATCGTTGTTTGCAGTGTGGCTAATTAGTAGGCATTTCGCATGTTTTTATTTCTCCATTGGGGGAAACATGCGGCCACCACCAATGATAATGTGCAAGCTCAGCGGGCCCTAAAAACTGAAGCTATACTTACAAGATACTAGAGCCAACTAGTATACGATAACCGATTGGACCATTAAGACCAAATTCAACTAGGCTTCAATTTTCGTACAACACAGCCATTGCTTCTTGTTTCTGGTTTCCATCCCTGATGTCTTCAGTTGATTCGCAGCCGTTCTACAAGCTATGCATTCAGGAAATTTATATACGTGTTCTATTCTTTCCAGAGCTTTCCATGATGCCCAAAGTAGAAAGCGATTGGAAATTGTCGCACGTATTCTAGATGAAGAGCAAAACTGGCAGCAAAATTTGTGCAACCATGTTCCACTGCATAATAAAATGTGCACCGGAAAGAAACAAGTAAATGGTACAGTGCTTTGAGGCCAAACTGTCATTTTTATTTAGAAAAGAGTGCAGTCGAAAGGTAGGTATAACGGCAGGAAACCGTCAACATCAGCCTTGGTTGGAGAGCAATCTGCAAAACCTAGTGTTACTAAGGTGGGTATTGGTGGCTGTTTCTGGTTGACAAAGGTGCATTGCATCGAATACGATATCGTCACTCTCACGCATAACTTGTTCTTTCATCCTCAGACCTGCAGTTACATCAAAATTGGATCACACGTAACCGCTTAGACAGCCTTTTAGCGAAAATTCATTGCTGGCATTTCTATCAATTCGAATCGTCGAACAGCCTTTTGCTGATGTAATCTACGTCGTATGAAATTTTTGCCTTAATTGCTAACTTTACTTACATTTAGGAACTGGGCATTCTGGCATAATTTTACCTTTGCTTAGTGAGGCATATAAGGGTGTCACAGGTTTCTTTTGATGCACACGTTTTGTTACTGAATTGTGCGACCCAATCCCATCGAGAAACGCGAAGTACTAGACATTTAATCTCGGTCAGTTAATTCATCAGGACCATTATGATATGCGTCGCCCGCGACTCCTTGGTGTAGGAGTAGGGGTTACGGCTCGTATTTTGTACGGCCGGGTTTGTATAGCATTTCTTCTCTCCAAATGATGAGTACAAAGAAGTGCGAAACTAGCCGTAGAGTTCAGTGTCACGAGAAGGAAATATCAGACAGTTATTTAGTTTTGGTATTTTATGGCCTACCTAAACAATTACACACCTCCTGCTGTATGATTTTCACTCAACTATCTTCCAAACTATTTGCCCTCTACTGCTCGACCTGGACCTGTTTACACAGTGTCGCTCCCGAAAGCTTCTCGCTTACCTACATCCCTGAAATATACTGGACATGAGCTATGTGTGTTTTTCGGTTGAATGTTCTGGGCTATTAATCATTGCGCAAGCGCGATACTGGTTGCACCTTCTCCGTACGTTACGGTATAGCATTAGTCTCCACTAATTAGTTATTCCTCTATGGTTTAGAAGACTCAACGGTCGGCATCTCCGACTTATGAACAAAGCCGCAACTAGAGAAACCAACGGAAACACGGTCTGTTGCATGCGTGACCAATGCCAGACAAAGCCCGCAGAATAGGGGAATGTGTGAAGTACGTGTGTACATCGATGGAAAGGGCAGAACTTATACCTAAGTGACATTGCGTCCCAACACAAATTTGCAGACTTCTCTTATTCAACTGTTAATGGGTACACCACTTTACTGCTTGTTTAAGCTGATGTTAATCGCTTTCGCTGAGTTAATCAAATATTGCAATGAACATCTGTGCGGATTTCTCCGGTCTTTGTTTGGTAAAGTATTATTCGCGTAATTAGTACACCATTCAGTTCCCTCTACGGACACTGTAAGTATTCCCAATAAATGTATAAGTTGTGGTTACATTCTACCTGCTATTTAAGGAACCTGAGGCACACTTTGGCGTCAGTATTGATTCGCAAGTCCACGTAACCTTTGGACAATGTCAACGGAGTAGCGTCCGCACATTGTTTCAAGCCGAGATCCACATTTTGGGATGTTAGCAACTCAGACTGAGCACTACTTATAGGATCGTAAGGGGATCATTTAGAAGGGTTTTAACTTATTGTAATATTTGTAGACATAAACTTACAGCAAAATCCTAATAGCAGCTTTGACATTCTTTCGAGCAGCACTTGTCACCCGAGTGTAAAGTTCGTGCCCATAGCAGGCGGCAATCAGACGACGGCAACTCAGTGGAAGAGAACATAATCAGAGAAAATGAAGAGGACAGGTGCTCTCATCATCTAACCAAACCTTGTCCAATCAATAGCACTGTGCTTCAGGAGGACGTGGACACAATTGTAAGGTCTTTCGGTAAGCCTATTGCTCAAGGAGGCGTCGTTTTCAATTTTTATACCATTTCAGACTTTCAGATTGATGTGGTTTCGAGAAACAGTTGTTTCCTCTTGACTTCGCTGGCAGCTGCTCTGATTGCATTAGACCGGCTTAATCCAGATATCTGTACTACGATCAAACGAAAACACGCAATATACTTAAATGCTACTATTATGTTAATGGAAGTGGGTGTCAGGCGTAATATTTTTCGAAACCGGACATCAATCCATTTGAATTCTGTTTGTTATATTTTCTCTTCAGTAGGCTCTCTGTCACAGTTTTACGTTTTTAAAACACAATTAAACATTTTTCGTTTATGTCTGCAACTAAATCAAACGGTTCAGTCATTTAGTGGGAACGGTGTTAATTATACGAGACACAGATTTGTATAACGCAGTCAACGAGAATAACATTACAGGCTGCAAAACAATCGCCATGATAGATTCAGCCGGACTTGGCTTAGCAAGTTTCGCTCTTAACAGATAATAATACACTAAATAAATAAATATTTTATTTCTCGACTTTGTGAGACACTGCCCAGGATGTTTATCAGACCAAATGGTTGACTAATCGACCATTGTTTCCTACTCGAGTAAAAATACAGAGTACGCGTGATCTTAGTTTGGCGAGCCACGCGTCAGTTAACATGACTATTAAGCCCCACGAAAAGGGCTGCGTCAGTCGCATGTTGTTTGGTACTCCGCGAAGGTATTGTAAAGTTTCCATTTCTATCATTGACACAAGTTGACATGGCAAGATGCAGGCCTCAATGGCACTTGTGTTGATTTCTCCATTCCCATCCCTCTTAAAATCCCCCTTCCAACCCCGATCTTTGTCCTGAATCATAATATGTTGCTAGGCAGTTTGTTACCTGTTCGCTTTTTCGTATATCTTATCCTTGCACTACGCTCACCCACACACACGCGTGACGTGCGTGCTCCTAGTGTCTTTGGATTATTCCCTCTATTCTCTCTCCAACTTCTCGCCGCATCGTCACTGTACGCTCATTCGAACCGGATTTATCAGCCCTACACAGTGATCCATCATACGTGGAGATATCTTCTACGATTAGAGTCTGTGCCATCACTAAGCGTTATCAATGGAATCCGTGCTTAAGCGCAAGGGGATAACTCAATCACATTGAGCCGAGTGCCTGTCTGTGTGACACCATGCGATACAGAATTCTCGAGACAGTCCGAAAAGAATAAGATTGTGGCTATTGAACTGTTCGTTGAGCTTAATAATTTTGTTGCAAACTTTCCGTCACGAATCGAGGTGACATCATCAGTGTGTAGTTGAGTGGCGTGCAATAGCGTAGAGTAGCGTGGAGGAGCCTCGGTGAGAGTGTGCTGAACGTGGTGTGCGTGCGTTTTTCCTACCGCCGCTGTTGGCCATGGAGCCGAGCAATCCTATTGGTTGGGATTTCGATCCGCGTTCAGCTTGGTTGATGGGCGGATGACCTTTGACCTCGTCTCCTTGTGTTTCATCGCCTATATCTGACTGCTGTTGCGAGCGGGTCTGACGTCAGTTCTGGTCGTTTAGTCACACGTTCCACCTGATTCAATCGATCGAGTTGGCGGTCGTTCATTAGTAGCGTGGTGTATACTGCGTCCAGTTCGATGTGTCAGTTGGTTGATTGCGCTGTAGAGTACCAGGCTTCCAAAAACTCTATCGCGTGTTTTGTACTTAAATTTGCTAGGATGTTTATATTCTCCAGATCGAAATGGAGGCCTTCTTGAGCTACATGCCTAGAAAGCAATGAGTGTGGATCATGCCTTCTGACGGCCGCCTTGTGTTCGTTGATTCGCGTACAAAGTTTTCTTACAGTTTGTCCGATGTAGTTTTCATCGCAGTCGCCACATTTTATCTGGCAGACGAAGTTGTATTGTTCCGCTTGATTGACTTTCCCTTTGGCGCTTGAGATCAATTTCATTAGGGTGGCATTTGGCTTGTGAGCCACAGAGATTCCATGTGATTGCAGCAACCTGCATGTTAGTTCGGAGACGTTCTTGATGTATGGAAGCACTAAGCGTTTGTTTGCTTGATCAGATTACTGCTGCTGTTGCTGAGGCCTTCGTTTCTTTAAGATTCTTCTGATGAAAGTTCTCGGATAACCCTTGTTTCTAAGCACTCGATATATGTGCTTTTCTTCCTGTTTCCGCGATTCGGCTGGGCTGCAGTGCGTTTCCACTCTTCTGAACAGGGTTTGAATGCAGCTCTTCTTGTGATTCATCGGATGGTTGTTGTGGTAGTTTAATATCTGGTCCGCATGCGTTTTCTTCCGATATACGTACGTCTCCATAGATCCGCCTGTATTCCTAGTGACCAGTACATCCAAAATGGTAGCTTGTTATCCTCCTTTAATTCAATCGCAAATTTGATCTCCTCGAATGTGCTGTTAAGCAAATCGTGCGTGGCCTCTACGCTGTTTCGTTTTACGATAACGAACTGGTCGACCACGCATCGTATCCAGAGTTTCGGACTGATAGATGGCAGTGCAATGCGCTGCAATATCTGCATTACGGCTTCTGCAATGAGCCTCGAAATTGGTGATCCCATGGGTGTTCCTCTCAGTTGCTGGTACACTTGTTCATCAAAGCGGAAGTATGTGGGCATGCAAAGGTTCAGGAGTTCCCAAAAGCTTTCAGGTCGTATGGTTGTCGTTAGACTTGATTCACAAGTAGTTCCATCATGGTTTCTTTGGCCAATTCGTGACTGATTGAAGTGAAGAGTGCGGTGACATCGAAAGAAAGCATTATTTCGTCGTCTTCTATTATGACACTCCGCCGTTTGTTGAGGAATTGTTCAGCATTGTTGATGCTATGTTCGGATCCAGCAACCAAATGTTTCAACCTGCTCCACAAATCCTTCACTAGCTTATATGATGAGTTCTGGGGAGCTAGACGATTGGTCGTAGTGGGACTCAATCCTTGTGTACTTTTGCTAGTCCATAGAACAGTGCAATGTTTGTATCATCAGGTTTCATTCTCCATCTCTCCGTGTCGATGAGCTCGTTTTTTGTGGTTTCTTCAGCGTTCCGTTGATCTGGTTGACCAGTTTTGAACTTGGATGTTGATCGTTCTGGCGATATGTAGTTGTGTCGGATAGCAGTTCTTTTTGTTGTTAATATACTCCGGTTTGTCCATTATCACTGTCATGCGCCGTTTATCCGCTGGTAGGATTACAACGGTTATCCGAAAAATTTCATCAGAAGAAGCCTAAAATATGAAGGCCTCAGCAACAGCAGCAGTCATCTGATCAAGCAAACAAATGCTTAGTGCTTCTCTACATCAGGAACGTCTCCGTACCAACAAGAAGTTTGCCGCAATCACATGGAATCTCTGTGGCTCACAAGCCAACTGCTACCCTAAGAAAATTTCTCTCAAGACCCAAAGGGAAAGTCAATCAAGCCGACCAGTGCATTGTCTCCTTGCAGATAAAACGTGACGACTGCGATGCAAACTACGTCGGACAAACTGTAAGAAAACTTTGTACGCGAATCAACGAACACAAGGCGGCCGTCAGAAGGCATGATTCACACTCATTGCTTTCTAGGCATGTAGCTCAAGAAGGCCTCCATTTCGATCTGGAGAATATAAACATCCTAGCAAATTTAAGTACAAAACACGCGATAGAGTTTTTGGAAGCCTGGTACTCTACAGCGCAATCAACCAACTGACACATCGAACTGGACGCAGTATACACCACGCTACTGATGAACGACCGCCAACTCGATCGATTGAATCAGGTGGAACGTGTGACTAAACAACCAGAATTGACGTCAGACCCGCTCGCAACAGCAGTCAGATATAGGCGATGAAACACAAGGAGACGAGGTCAAAGGTCATCCGCCCATCAACCAAGCTGAACGCGGATCGAAATCCCAACCAATAGGATTGCTCGGCTCCATGGCCAACAGCGGCGGTAGGAAAAACGCACGCACACCACGTTCAGCACACTCTCACCGAGGCTCCTCCACGCTACTCTACGCTATTGCACGCCACTCAACTACACACTGATGATGTCACCTCGCTTGGTGGCGGAATGTTTGCAAGCAATTGCCACGCTCAGCGAACAGTTCTACTGTCATAAGAACTTGCGTATTGATTCTGTGGTTTTTACCTATCCATTCTACATTAGTTTGCAAGCACTGACTTTACATATAATGTTTCCTAATATTATTTCCTGTATGCGAAGTGAGAACACCGGGGATCAGCGAATAACAACTGCATTTTCTGCTAAATCCCATTTGCATGCAAAACCGCTACCTGGCGCCTCCAACTGTCATGTCCCGCCTTAGATATGCTCTGGCCAGTGTCCAAGCTCATCGAGAATAACGATGGATCCGGTCAAACTGATCGACAGTAAGGACGGTTGACCTAGATTTATCGCAAGCATCATTAGGCGACTCTGTGTCGTCATTTTGTTTGGATAGGCATACATCCATTGGTCATAAAGTTATGGTGGACGTTCCGCGATCTTTGCAGCTTACACATGGTGTAATTAGGTATCAGGACTTTCTGATTCCATCAACGAACCACATGGATTATGATGATGTTGGTGTATGGATTGACACCAGTGTGCCTCCACCGCGTATAGTGAAGCCCTGTATATCGAACGCAATTAAGCGGATTTTACCGATAGATGGAAATAACAGCAACCTACTGACTCCTATCAATGCGTTACCTAATCGGCAGCCTGTTAGTGACATGATGCAGAGGACACAACCTAACTCTCCAGCTCCCACAGGCTATTGCAGTAATCATGGACGCTTTCTCTCGAACCATTTTCTAGAGGGCCATGCTCGGTATCAATCCCCTCCGCTGTGGTCACTTTTTCTGCTGTTGGCAATGCGCGCACTTTTTCAACAATATCCAACCTGGGTCCAGGCACACGGCTTGAAACCCCAGTGTATAACACAACCTAATGAATATTCCTCGTATCTCACATCTATCTCAGTATTTTTGATAAACTTTCGC